TTTTGTCGGAGTCGTCTCTGTAACTGGAGGTAGCGGTGACAGGTGACGGTGGCAGGTGGCCGTTTGAAATGCGGCCGTCAAGCGTCAGATCCCAAGTCAATTAGGTGCTCCGGAAGCGAAGTGCCTGGAGCGGTGCGTGAGGCGAAGTCTTGAGTTCGGATAAGGGGGGCCCCGAACTGTCATAAGTCAGGCCAGTTCGGGTCTTTGCTTTGTGTGACTCGGGGTCAAAGGGAGAGTTCGGGCTCCTCGCAGGGAGTTCGACCACTAAGTAGGGAGTTCGACTACTAAGTAGGGAGTTCGGGCACCTTGCAGAGAGTTCAGGTTCCTTGTAGGGAGTTCGAGCTCTAAGTAGGGAGTTCGGGCCCCTTGCTAGGGAGTTCGGACCTGCTGGTCCCTTCCTTTTAGCGTTTGTACCCTCGGTACACTGTTTTAAGTGTCGAGCTACTTGCCTTTTTTGCCATGTGCCATGATTTGTGAGATCGGGCCAAATCTTCCTTCATCAGATATGCTAGTCGTGAGCTTAATAGCTTGTGCCCCTCAACCAGCTTCTAACCCAGGACCAAACAATCCGTTGGGTGATCAAAGGACTGCCGCACAGCCTTCTTGTTCTTGTCGAAATGCACGAAATTTCCTGTCTTAAGTCGTGTTTAAGCCTACTACTGACTTGCCAGTTTTGTTTGGTACAATGCCACCTTCGCTGTTGGTCTGGACAATGAAGACGACAAAGTAAAAGGAATCAACAAAAGAATGTTAGGCTCTGTAAACTCTCGTTTTTTTATTTTTTTTTTTGAACGTGAAAGAAATAGGATGAAGAAGAAACCTAAACCCTATGAACGTTTGAAAGTAGTGACAATAGAACCCTGTAATTTGATTAAGAGGGAATGATTGTGCAGGATATCCGGACTCACTAATCAACGACGGAAACCACTAATATTAAGTTTCATTCGCAAAGAGTGCAAATGAAAGGATGCATTTGGATGGAAGGAAGGTTTTACCAAGAAAAGAAATACATTTCATAAACAATGAAATCTTACACACAAGCAGAAGATGAGTTTGCCATTAGTCCATTACCATATGTAACCCCAGAACAACAATCGAATTCACAAAGTCACACCACCACAAACTGATCCTAGTCCCTAGATGGAAAAGAAAAAAAAAACTGTCCATCTTTCTCTCGCTCTCTTTGTATGTACATTTCATAGGAAAAAAAACCAACCAAGCTGCCGACCTGCCGTTTGTTAGACGTTAGTGAGTCAGTGACGAATACAAAACCCATCGTCAATACCACTTGAAAATTGAAGAAATAATAGGAAAAAATGTTTTAGAAAAGGAAATCAAAAATCAGATTAAGACGACGAAACAATCGGAATCAACCCAACAAATCCTGACGACGCTGGCATAACTCCCGCCTGACCTTCTGAGAGAACAGCCTGCAGGCGTCCATGCTCAGATCCACGGCAGCTGCTAGTGCGACAAAAGCTGCTGCATCCTCCGTGCAGTTCACGTGCTGCACACTCACCTCCACCACCGGCTTACTGCACTTCCCCTCGCCTACCACCGTCGACGACATCACAAACCCTCTGTACATGCAATATGGCCATAGCCCATACCCGAAGTCCCCGCTGCACCTCGGGCTACATGCCGGCGAGCTCGAATTTGCAGGCGTAGACCGCCCAAACCCGCTCGTGTCGATCACAAATTTACCGCCTTTACTCGTTCCGAGCGTCGACTCCGCGAGTACAATGCCGGCAGCGCTCATGCTTCCATTAGTATCGGGCATGAGCTCGAACCGGTATCCGAGGCCATCGCTGCCACCTCGCTCGCGCCAGGCCTCGAGACGGCCCCATGGTTTCCAAGTTCCATCGCCCGGGCGTAGAATTAGCCAAGCGCCGGGGTTGGATCTGCTAACTCTGTCCGAACCAGGCGAAGCAACAAATGGTGTAACCATTGATGCGACTGCCACCGGCGAGCCAGAGAGGTCGTGGACCGTGATCGACCATCCCTTGCGCTCCCTCCCAGACCGTTCCCTCTCACTTGCAAGCGAGCTCAACCAGCTTCTTGAACTGCTTGATTCTAACTGAGACGATCTGTTCGACATCAAACACAGACTAATGAATCAATCTTACAATAAAAAATGGGAAAACATTAAAAAAAAAACTCAGTAACGATAGAAATCGAAGAAGCTAATATCTACAGATAAAGAATTCTTCATAATACAGCATTTCAACTCTCTAAAAATCAATGAATCCACCCTTAGATATTTCAAAATATTAAAAAATAAAGATAAAGAATTAAAAAGGAAAGCCTTTTAAAGAATTACAGCACACCATTAAACCCTCAAATCTCACTTTAATTAATCAGAGGCAAAGATTTTGCAAGAAAAAGAGGAAAGTTGAAGGCCGTACTTTCAAGCTTCAACGATAAACATACAATTTGAACGGGCGTAAAGCGCTACGAGTCATGCTACCCAAAAAAAAAAAAAAAAAAAAATCGTTCAAAGTTTCAAATCCTAGTCATCTATAGTGCAATATGGTAAAAATATAGAGGTGGATCGTCAGGTACTATGTCTTGGATTAAACAACAGAGAAGCAAGAAAAAAAGGAACTTTAGTAAGCGGAAGTCGGAAGACTAACCTTGATAACTGATTCCGGTCGCCGCCGGAGTTTCTGAAACTGAACTTGCAAGTAAAGACAGGCTGTCGAATGTTGCCTCGGATCTGGAAAACCTGAGGACTGCGCTCCGGCTCTCCATCAAACTGAAACACGAATCTAGGATCAGGCTCCGCTCTCACATTCAAATGCAACTGCGACGAAGAACCCTTAGCATCCTTACCAACCGAAATCCAACCATTGTGGAAAACAGAAGCCTTACATTCGGCTCCCACCAGCTCCAAAGGCAACGAAACCCTTCCCAAGAGTCTTCCCGAGTTGACACCGCATGTGGTCCCCCTCCGCCCAGTGTATATCGCAATCTTCAGACAAGGCTTCCCGGAGAAGAAAGATTTACCGTCGAGCTTCTCTAGATCGGCTTTACTTAAGTGGAAACTGGCCGCCAGGGTCTGAGGTTGCTGACCGTCGGGGAACTGGTTCTGGGGCGGGATTAAGGGGACGATGGCAGTCTGTTGGGGGAAGTTGTTGAATCGGATTTTGCAGAAACAAGGAGAGGAGGCAGGGTGGATGCCGGAGCGGGCGGGTTTGGAAGCCATCGGAATCTTGAGAGCGAGGTTTCCGACGAGGAGATGCACGAAAGGACATGGATCCATGTGTCCTTCCGGCGAGATTTAGTTCGCTTCTTCAGCTTCGGGAGAGAAAATCTCGCTTCTTCAGCGGAATAAAACAAAACAAAACAAAATTAGAAAGCCAGATCCAAAAAATTAAAAAAGCTAGATCGGATGGATTGAGAACACGAGGGAGTAGATTTTAAGGCCCCCAATGTGTGTGCGCTGCAACAGGCTGGAATAGCTGGGTCCTAGACAAGAATCCATGGGGATGCGTGCGCCCAAGGTGAGTGAGCTGGTGCGCAGTGCGCACGTACGCCAGCTTCCGATGATCCCACCCCTCTCCAGTAGTCCTGTTCTGTTGAAAGCAAGTAATGGTATCTCTCTCAAATCTCTTGTCTCATCTGTCGAGTCGAGTTGGTGGCCTGGCTTTCAACTACTTGAAGGCTCTTGTTTTCTGAGTTCTTTTTCCCCTTTTTTATTACTAAATATCTCTTCTTATCTTCTCTCTTTCTCTCTCCATAGTTTAGATGTACGGAAAGGGAGAGTAGGAAAAAAGAAGCATTAATTGCAGTTATTAGTTGGCTTACAGCTGTGCACAGGCTGTCCAAAAACGTTGCCAGTCCTACCGTAGAGAAGTTGACGGTATGTGACGAAGGTGAAGGGCCTCCTCCCGAGTCCTAAGTCCTAACCTGACCAACAACGTGGGTCTCTGCAGCCAAACTGCCTCCCAGTGCCCACCAAACTTAAAGCCCACTCCATTATAATATTCTTAACTCCTTTTATAAACCTAAACTAAAATACCGCCTCTGCTTTTAGCCTTTTAAGTAGCACAACTCATTTTATTATCTGCTCGCAAACCACGCCACGTCACCTGCTGGGGTTTGGAAATTGGGACCCACGACTAATACAGGGCTACGAATTTTGGTTGGTATCCATTATCCACGTGGCAAAGTTATATAAAATCTTGTTCATTTAGAACGAGGCTCATGACAAATACGAGACTCGACAAATACAAGGTCCTGAAAGTCTTTCTGGTGGTAGCTGTTTAATCTCAGATAAGAGACTAGCCACGTGTTAATTAGTAGCCATTTCTCCTATGCGTTAAATCAGTCAGAACGTCATCATCTACAGACTACAATTTCGACGTAGGAGGTAGGACCCATGGAATGCTTATATGACAAGTGGCAAAAATAGATTCATGAGAAATTGAAAGGTGAAACTCCAATTACATTTGGCCACGTCGTCCATCATAACGTATAATGGTAAAATGCACGTCAACCGGGTTCGGCGGTTCAATCGAACACGAACCGGCCGCAACATGACCCAGAGTAATCGAACACGAACTGGCCTCCTCTCTTCTTCTTCTTCTTTTTTTAAGAAAATGGCGGTTTCAAAGCACATGACTGTTGGAAGGTTCAAACACTCTGAGTAGGGGATTAGTATCAATATTTTCTTAACGGCAGAAGCCGGCGGCCACTCAACGCAGGTATATGACCGAAAAACGACAACATGAAATGAGAACGAAAGAAGTAAAGAAAACACAAAAGAAACAAAGAAAGAACGAAAGAAAAGAAACAGCTTACCTTAGCTTAGGCGGAAGAAAACCATAGAACTTCTGGTAATAAAAATTAAAAAAGACTCAAACTCGTTGATGAAATATCAGATCTTGGTCTTCGCTGGAACGGCGACAATGGGACCATAGAGGGAGAAGTTACAATGTCAGTCCAGAGCTCTCCTTGTCGCCGTCGATGGAGGGAGGGTTCGGTGTGTGGGTAGGGTTTGGTGGAAGGAGAAAAACATTCAGCGGGAAAAATTCGCAGAATGAGGGTTGGGGGACTTTTGATTACTCTGGCTCATGTTGTGGCTGGTTCGTGCCCGATTGAACCGCCGAACCTGAGTTGACGTGCATTTTACCGTGGGTTCGAGTGTTCGATTATGATATAGAAAAAAAAACAATTGATCAATAAACTGAAATCATAAACATGGTAACAATTAAGGTGTTATTTATCAAAATTTCACAGGTGGGTTTTGATTGGTCAAAACTCTTTCTATATCATATTGTTTCCGCATCATATTCATATATTTTCCCTTGAAGGGTTCCACTATGCAAAATTTTGCATCATATATTTTCTGCATCATCTGTAGTTACAATTTTGCATCGTTTCAAGGGAAAAATATATGATATGGAAAGAGTTTTGATCAATCAAAATCCACCCGTGAATTTTAATAAATAAAACCTTATTCGCTATCGGTTTATAATTTCAGGTCAGTTCATTTTCCCCTATCATATCTTTTCTATATCATAGTTGAACCCTAAAAACACTCATACAATTGGAACTATTTTGCAATCCTTAACTTTTTGTTAAAATTTCAGGAAATTTCCATGAAATTTAAAGTGGTCCCACAGACCCACCACAAAGGATGAAGGAAAAATGGTTAATGAGTGTTCATGAGTTGATTCGGTTTGGTCGTAGGCTATTTGGCCAACCAAATTGACCTATTCAGGTTGGAGAGTTGGTCACTTGAAACCGATTTACCTTCTGTGAAAATTGACCCACCCAAGTTGTATTGGTTTGGGTTGATTTTTTTGTTTGGTCAGTTGGTTCAAAAGATTTAAACTTAAAAATTAAATTAAATTTTAAAAATTATAGTGCAATTATTAAAAGTAAATTTAAAAAATTAGATTTTATAATATAAAACATTTTAGACTAAAAATATGGGAAATTTTTCACTTTTTCATATTTAAAATATAAAATATTAATATACATCCATGTTTAAGTCGTTCGATTTTGGTTGGTTTACAAATGGCCAAAGTAAAATTGATCCAACTTGGTTGAATTGGGAAATTTTTTAACCAAAACCAACCTACAATACTAGAAAACCAACCAACTCAAGTCGAGTTGATCGGGTTGGTCGATTTCATTAGTTTGATTAATAAACCTAATTGAAATTAATTATTGTTATTTTTGTATTATAAAAAATTTATTAAAAATAGTATATAAAATATGAATAATTATTAATTATTTAAAAAGTTGAAAATATAAAACAATTGTATACTCTTATGTGATTTTATTAGGGTCAATTACTAGAACACATCTTATAGTTTTACATATTTACTTAAACCTACCTTATAATTTTCATTTTATTAAAACATCCCATATATTTTACAACTTATTTACTTAGTCAACATTTCATTAAGGAGTGTTTGTTTTTCGATTAGGCACATGATTTTTTATTCCAAAAACACCCTTAACACTTTTTTTGTACAAAAAACAAAATTAACCAAATATAGCCAATAGAATGGTTGCACATATCTTATAAAGGGTAAAAATGATATTTTTATTTTTATTTTCTTTTGATTAAATTTATTTAAATGAACATTAGGGTCAACATTATCATTTTCATAAGTGGTATTTTTGTAAAATTTTAATTATAGGATAGATTTTAGCCATAAAACTATAGGGGTATTTTAGTAAATGACTATTTCTATTATTTTTCTTTTGTTTAATAAATACCGTGCATCACACAGGTCCCCTAATTGAAATTATTTTGCAATCTTTAATTTTTTGTTAAAATTTCAGGAAATTTCCATGAAATTTAAAGTGGTCCCACGGACCCACCACAAAAGATGAGGGAAACCTGTTAAAGACCCAAGAAGATAACAAACGATCAACACGGCCCGCCCATGAACATGGCATTTATGAAATTAATTATAGAGGAAAAGAATCCCGAGGCCCGAGAGTGGTAAGTTATTTAGTTCCAGACGAAATATCTGAAAAAATTGATGGCAATTTAGGTTCCATTTGGTAAGTTATTTTATAAAGATCATTCAAGTCAAAATGGCTAAAAGGTAATGAGGTTTCCAGATTTTGGCCCTTTTGGGTTTTCATGAACCTTTTAAGACAGATCTTTCTGGATTCTTCTCTTTCAAGACTTTCATTACCAAAATGGAGAAAGACCAAAATTTGATTTTCCAAGTTTTGAAAAATTCAAAATGCCAAATGAAAAGATTTATCAAACCCCTTAGGATGCATTTGGAAACTATGCAAATAGGTGTGAATTCAAATATGTAGAGTGTAAAACAAATCATATAAATTGCAAAGTTGGGTTAGTTTTGTACTGATAAATTTACTTTCTTACCAAACATACTTTTTACGTGTAATAGATGCATTTATGAATTTCAATAAAATATATGTTTTTTTTTTAACAAAATCCCACTTAAATACAAATTTACTTCTTTTTTATTGATGTACTTTTACATCTTATTATCAATGTAAATATGCATTGATTTGTTATTTGTCAATGCATAAATGTAATATTACTAAATACAAACAAAAGTGAACCAGAGTGCAAATTTACCCTGAACAGGAATTTATACTCCATTTGCATCATTTCCAAATGCAGCCTTAGTTTTAGTTTTCTTAACAAATTGTAAAGACCAAAGCATTTGAGATGAAAGGTACTAAAGAGAAAGTTGTTATTGTTCTAGGAAACACCCTACTGGAAGTAACGAATTCAAACAAAAACAAAAAAGGCACCAACTCACACATCAGTAGCACGGTTAGGAATTAGGATTCCCCTGTAGTCACATGTTTTGCAAGGTTTTTAAAAACGAACCGAAAATGGAACTGGTCAGAGGACCGGTTTCCGATTAAGCGGTTCAATCATCCGGGTTGAAAGGTTTGACCCGTGATGTCATAAATAAATTAAAATAAAAAATATATTTATAAATAATATAAAATTAAATAAAAACAGAAAAAATACAGGAAAATACAGAAAAAAAAAATACAAAAAGAAATTATCTAAATACAAAAATAACAAACTATAAAACAAATGGAAAATAAAAAAGTATAGAATTGTCCTCTCTATTCTCCCTTCTTCTTCACTGCGATAAAGAGTAGAGCCAACAATCTCTCCCCATTGTTCGTGGTGTTGCAATGAATCCAGTGGATCATCCTCATGGAGGAGGTGAGGGGCGCACGAAAGGAGGTAGACCTTCGGTGTCACCTTGGGGGGGAAAAGCTCACCAAAGCTGGATTTTTTTTGAGAGAGTTTTTTTTAGAGAGGTCTCTTGGTAACTTCAAATTTATAAACCTTTAGAAATTAATATGTACAGATTCCATGGCAGAAGGAAATAAAACAGAACTTACAAATTAAGGACGGAAAAAAAATCATTATATCAGTTGTTAACTGTCACAACGAAAGGTTGAGGCTCAGGCCGAAAAGAGCCCATTGATGGTAGCAAGACCCAAACCAGTCTTGGGTTCTAACCCTCTTTGCAAGCTGAAACCTATCCTCCGCAGCTTTCTTCGCCCAGGAGAACGCATCAATCGGCCATGCCAGAACTGACACACAAGAAACCAAATCAATCTCATCGTCTTTCGAAACCCTGATCCTCCTCTCGTACTCCTCCGCAAGTGGAACGACAATTTCTACCATTTTCTTTCTTCTTCCTTTTCTTCCTCAGCGAGACCGAAAACCAAGAAAAAGACACCCCACGAACCTCTGAAGTTGGAGCCAATTCTGTCGATGAACACATTTGCACACCAAAGCTGGATTTCGGGTAGGGGTGGGAAAACACAAAAATTATTTTAAAGATGGAGAAAGTTAAAAAAACAATAAAATTAATAAATTAATAAAGTAAAAGCAAGAGTACGAGGGAGAATGAGAATGAGAATAAGAATAAGGGAAAATAAGTGGAGAAATGAAAAGGGGAGAGGAGCAGCGACACTGTTCTCGATGCTCGCGAAGCAGAGTACATGTGTAACTTCGAAAACAAAAGGAATAGTTTTCAGAGAACTTATGTAAAATCATTGGCCGCCATTGTTCTTGTTGCTCCTTGTTGCTGCTGATGAGAAAATGAAGGAAATCCGCAGTTGTTCCTTGTTGCTCACCGCCGTAGATGAAGCCTTTTTGAGGAAGGAAATCCGAACGACAGCCACCGGTCATCGTGATTCACCGTTGGTCGACGTCGGTCGTGGCTGCCAAAGGTCGTCGGTCATGGCTGCTACAGGTCATCGGTCGCACCATCGGAGTATGAGAAGGAAGGCCGGAACTAGAAGGGTTAGAAGTTAGAACGAAAATAACCCTAACTCGTAAGGGAGAATCGTGAGATATGAATGGAATTTAAAAAAAAAAAAAAAAATCGAACGAAAATAAATTTTGCTTACCTGCTAACCGCTACCCGGGTCAAACGATTTAATGATTCGATCACCCGAGTCAGCGGTTTTTTGATTTTTTCAACAGTTATTTTTAAATAATGGTTTAGAGTATAACCGGACCTCGGGGCTGAACAGTTACCGGTTTTTCCGGTCCGACCGTCCGGTCCAGTCCGATTTTGAAAATCATACTGTATTGCGTGATTCTTATTTAGAGCAATGTCTTGAATACCCATTCGAACAGTCTTTACAGCCTTACACTGGCGATAAAAAGGCTGTTGGAATTGGCCTTGCAGTGACTAAAGCAGAATTTGGGTCGAGCTCGCATTCAAATTTCAACTTCAACTCCGCGAGAAAAGAAATAGGGTTTTGTCGTCTAGTTATAGAACAATATATCCTTAGGAGCTAAGTATGGCAGATGGATTTCAGTTGATGGGCTGGGCCCTCCTTGAAGGTTCCAGCTCTGTTGGTTCCAAGCAACAGGAAGGAACAGAGAATTAGGTCATATTTGAAGATGACTAGTTTTGGCCTATTGTGGAACTTGTGGGCTCTGGTCATATTATCATCATTCCAACGTCGCAGCTCTCCTGGGTTCCACACCTAGTGTCCTCTATAGAAAAACCGTCTGTAGGGGTTTTAATAAATTTTAAAAATTTATTAAAATTTTTAAAATTTGAATTGGATGAGATCAGATTTGCAAAACTATTATTCTTAACGAATTCGAATTCTAATCATAGATCTGATCAGATCAAATCAGATCGAAGATATGTGCTATCGAATTGGATTTGGATATACCTGATTCGAATCCGATTTGATTTATTTGCATTCCTAAGTTGGAGACTTCTATCCACGTTCATTCCTATGGGTGAACCAACTCCTAACACAGCCATTAAACGCAGATAAGGCTCAGTTTGGAAGGAATACAAATACAAATATATATAATGCAAAACTTTGTACTTAAGGCCTTGTTTGTTTGAGGTAGAAAATTGAACCGCGATAAACTTTACACCCATTCGATTTTACATGCATTTAGTAAACATGTAATTTTACACCTTAAAATCGGTATAAAACTCCACCTTCATTTATCTTTACTCCTCTCGCTCTACCCTGTTGGTTGTCTCGCTCGTATCGGTCACCGACGAAATCAGTCACCAATGTAAAACTCATATGTCAAAGAATCAGTCACCGACGAAATCAGAAACGGTAAATACTCTGGTATTTACCCAGAGGATCGTGTCTTCTCTCCAAGCTCTCGGTTGCGATCATCAGTCGTCATTACCGTTTGGAGAAAGGAAACTAAGAGCGACACACTCTCGGTTCCCTCGTTGCAGCATCCAATCTCAGGCCAATTTCGATTCTGGGGTCGGTGACTGTACTACTCGTTTGAAGAAAGGAAACTAAGAGCGATACACTCTCGGTAAATACCTATACTCAGGTACTCAGGTATTTACCCAGTAGTCTCTAATTCTCAACACCGCTATGGGATAATCGATATCTGGATGGTTGCCAGAGCCGGTGATGAAGCTTCTGCTGAACCGGTTCTGTGAAAACCTTGAAACTTACTCAGGTCTGCCACAACTTTCCTCTTCTACACTGATTACCGTCTGCATTTTTTCGAGAAAAGATGTTCTTAGCTATTCGAAGAGAAGATTAGAGTTCTCTATGCTGTTTTCTCTCTCTATTTTTTTTTTCTAGTTCAGTTCCTCTGTCTGAAGATTCTGCTCATAACGATGCTATCCATTTCACTATGGTTTTTTTTTTCGATCAGTGAAGGCCGAACTCTGTTTGAATAAAGTAGCTAGTGGTTCATGTATCCCCATGCATCTTCTCTTCGAATAGCAAGGAACATCTTTCCTCGAAAAAATGCAGACGGTAATCAGTGTAGAAGAGGAAAGCTGCAGAAGACCTGAGTAAGTTTCAAGGTATTTGATGATGAGCAATCCGGCCAATTCTAGCTGGAAGTGACGAGGCTTCTAACTGGCAACGGGCAAGAGATACCTGTAAGAAGGACGAAGGGACCCGGGGTTAAACACCCAGCAGGGACTCTCCGATGCTTAAGTTAGAACTCGATAGTGAACTGAGAAAGAGAATGAGTATGCCAGAAGATGAGAGCTAGAGAGTGGTGAATATGCGATACCTTTGCTTCTGAGGGGTCGGAGTGCCTATATATTGACGTCTGACAGGTTTGGTGGGGTTGATCCCGAATCCCTACTGTGGTGATCCGCTATCAAGTCGTACCTCGGAGTGGTTGGCCATTACTGTTAGGGCCGAGAGCAGGTGGGCTATAGTGACCGTTGCATGGTACGGTCCCGCCAGCCGGGAGACAACTTGCAGGCACGACGCCGTCAAGTGGGAGACAGGGGCGCAACCTTCTGAAGTGGCCGGCGCTGCGCCGTCAG